AGGGGAAGGCAGAAACACAACCCATATTTCCTTTAGAACTGGTACAGGGCATTTCTAGCTGCTGCCCGGGGAGGTAGGTAATTCACAGACACTCCAGCACCACAATGCCATAGCGAATATTTGCAGGCTAGAAATGTTGTACTGTTCGTTTCTATGTTCCCATATTGTGTGTAACTATATGTATGTTTAATTTTCAAACTTATTCCTAGAATTTGTGTGGGGGGCGGCAGGGAACACACAGAAAAAAAATGGGACTGTCAGAGTGAAAACTTAATGTACCGTTAGCACAGTGACGTCAGCAGCATGGCCCGTCAGATCGAGACGGTCATGGCTGGGTCGACTTGGAAGCTTTGATCATTTCTGAAAGAAAACGTCAGAATCGAATCAACAATCTTTGGATCATCAAACAATCGTCTAGCCGCTACACCACAGACTCTATATTCTGTGTCTGTGAGTACAGAGATAGGTCAGCTGAGCTCCACGTAACCGTCATCATCATCATGTGCCCTACCTATACTTAGGTAGTCTGGTTCGTCATCTCACACAAACAATAGAATCACGGATCAGACAACTGCTATTACCTCCATTTGCCGACAAAGGTGGGAGCCCCAGTGGCATAGCAGCTAGACGCTTCCGTCCGGATCCGAAGTTCGCGGGTTCAGCTTCTGAAGAAGCTAGACATTTTTCAAAACGACATTGGCTGCTAGTTCGTCTCAGCTTCAAATAGGTACTAGATAAATTCCACGGAAGTAAAGTCAGTCACACGACCCATAGAGTACCGATCGGTCTATAAAATATAGGTGTAATCCTGTATGCCCAATGCGCCTAAAGGTGTGCACAAGGATCCTTTGCTTTACATTATTTAGCTGCAGTTTTGTTTTTATAGCTGTTGAGAAACCAACAGTCAATGCAGCTGATTCCCGTGTGGGTTCCGGGGTCCCCATTGTAGGGAAAACAGTGATACTGCCTCCATAACAAGCTCGTCGTAAGAGTCGACTAATTGGGAGTTTCCTTCGAAATCGGAGTGCATATGCCTGACAGAAAAGGAACCAACAGTCTGCATACAAAATAAATCAGATCTGTAAAACGGATGTGCTTGCAACACTCAGATTCTCGAACAAGTCTACAGTCCAGAGGTGGACGAACATCCAGAACTTTCCGCAAGAGTTTACAGCCGGTAAACGCGAAGAAGAAGAATAATGCAGTTGATTCGAATGTTTAGCAAAGCGCTTGAAAGAAATCACGTATGTTGTTTGTGTTATCACAAATGTTTTGCTCAGTTACCAGTCCTGTGTTCACACGAAGACCGTTCACAGAGGCCATAATTTAACAGACTGAAAAATTGAAGGAAAAAAAAAGAGAGTTTATAACTTTAAAGTAGTAATATATTGTTTAACCAAAAAGGCACTTGCTGAGAGGAAAAACATAATACAAATAAAACAAGAACAATTTTCGTGTTTGCTAAATTATATTAATTACTTTTTTATTGATAACTTACATAATTTGTAATGATATCCACATTGACTAAAATTATTGGATGTAAATTTGACTTTAAAAAAAAAAACCACAACAGCCAGAAAGTGCTGAGGTTGATTATGCAACGTCCTGTAAAGAATTCGCAACTAATTTATTCCAGATCTACAAATAAATTAAAATTACAATAAATAAATAGAATGGAAGCTAGAATCATTTTGGATATTCAAAAGTAAGAGACTCTATACTAGGATTATATCCCAAAGATTGGTAAAGTTCTGATGTTTATAAAGAAGCGGCTGATGTTGGGCCACAATGACCGCTCAGATAAGAGCGAACAGACTGTCCGTTGCGGCAGGTAGCTACGATATCTGATGGGTCTTCAAGTGAAGAAAACCACAGAACAAGTTCGTTGGGCGCTGGACAAGGACAGGTCAGTGGCTGGAACGTGTCCAGAGATATGTCTACCTTTGAGCTCAGTGATGTAAGAGCAGGAGGGATTTCTGTCAGCTGTGAGTCCGTAATGGAGAGGGATAGTAACGATACTAGATCTGAGAATGCTTCCGGTTCGATTGTTGAGATGGGATTGAAATCTAAAGTTAAAAATCGTAAGAGATTGAGATTTCTGAAAGTTGTGTTCGTAATGATAGTTAAATTGTTGGAACTCAAGAATAGGCTTTTCAGACTTAAAGGTAATGAGTTAGGTTCAATGTTGAAAATAGAGTTGATCGTCAAGTCTAATGTGTCAAGCCTCGACATTCTAGCGACATCTGCTGGTACAGACGAAAGATTGTTGTCTAAAAGATACAATATTGTCAAAGACGTAGGAAGAGAGCCGGCAGGTATATCTGATATTCTGTTGTTTGATAGGCTAAGGATTCTTAGACTTGTCAACTTTGAGAAGTTTGATGCTTTGGTCAGGCTAATATTTTCCAGATATAAATAAGAAAGCTTTGGGGCGAATGGTAACTCAGTTATATATTGAATTTCAGACACATTTGTAAAACTGTTGTTGCTTAAATATAGGGTGTCTAGACTTGAGAGTGTGGACAACGCTCGTGGCACTTGGGTCAAGCCGGTCGACGAAAGGTCCACAGATGTCAGCACATCTGTCACTGAACTAAAGGCATCGTCTGGTATATATTTGAACGTGTTCCCTTTTAAGTTGATAGAACGGAGCAAATGAAAGTCAGAAATCCAGCTTGGCCATTCAGTTAAACCGACATCACTAAGTACAAGAAACACAAGTGTTGTAGCAATCTGTTTCAATGTAGCGGCATCCCAGTCTTGTTTTGGGATATGTTCAAGCTCCAGGTTGGTCAGTTTGGTTAGTTTCTTTAGCGCTGTTGGAAGATTTTTTAAGTGTGCGCCGTTTATGTATAATCTCTGCAGCGTCGCTGTTGATGCACTAAAGGCGTCTTCAGAAATATTAGATAGTGGAACGCCAAACAGAAAGATTGATGTCAGACCAGAGGGCAGACTGTTGTCGGATATACTGCTTATAGTTCCAACCTGAAGAATGTAATTATTTTTATTTGATTCAAAGCGTGGTTTATGCATAATTAATGTGGTAGTGACAGAAGGGCAGAAAACAAAATATGTTGAAGATATGCCTAGCAGCCTTAGGAGGTAAAATGAGAGATGACCATGAAAATGCGCAAGAGATAATTCATTCATTCTTTCATTGTCCTGCTATACATTTATAGGCAACATGGGGCTCACAGTCTATTCATCCATTTAGTTTTATCCTGTGCGATCAGTTCAGTTATAATTTTTTAATGCTAAATGACTGGTGGCATATCAGCATATGGTTTAAGTGTATATTTCTTGATTCTTGATGGAACTCTGCAACGATCACACACAGTCTACGAAAACTCAACAAATGGCTCTCCATAAAAAGATTAAGCACAAAACGTTCGGGTCTAACAACCCGGCACACCATATATGGAAGCCAAGTACCTTATCGTAAGTCTACACACTGGCAAACAGGGATAAAGCTCATATGCTTTGCATCCTCAAAACAGTTTCAGCAGCTCTCCATAATACAGCTTAGACTCGCTATCAATCAGAACTCTTGAGCTCACCGCTTCAGTGCCTAGGACGCTGGCTTACCTGCACTTTTGGGCTAGCAGTAAGAATGAACATGCTCAAAAAAACTTACTCAGCTTGACCTCCGTTGCTAAACTCATTAACAGGCACTTTCCATTGGCTGACTGGGAACCTCTACAATACTTCAGTTACACAATATGCACACAGCAAGTCAACCACGTCGAGGAATTCAACGATGACTGGCTGAACTCACAAATCTGAGTCCCATCAGCACACAGCCGATAGCCGACATCTACGAGGCTCACTCTTCGTCAGTAGAATCTTCTTCTTCTTCTTTGTTCACAGGCTGTAAGCTCTGGCGGAAAGTCCTGGTTGTTCGTCCATTTGGACACTGGCTTTGTGCCAGGGCCTGAGGTTTGCGTGTTCATCCGTTTTACTGACTTATGTGTGTGCAGTAGGTTGTTCCTTCCAGCTCGGGCAGATGCACTACGACATCCGAGGAAGTCTGCAGTTAGTCGACCTACGACGTGCTTGCTGGTAAGGCAGTGATCTATTCTTGTTTTCCCCCACAATGGGGATCCGGAACCCACGCGGGAAGTATGTAGAATCGGTTGTCTTGTTTCTGTAGTAAACTGCAACATTTAACGGCTCGCACATGCATGGGATGCATAATGCAGCCGTCGGTGGTGACAGCACATACATCCATTCGCCATTCTCTTAATAAGCAGTTTACATGAAAGATTTCCTGGAGCGCAGAGAATAAATATTCCCCATGAAATTCACAGCTCACATTGTCAACCTATTCACTCAACTCAGTAACTTGCCGTCAAACCCGGATTTCGACAATACTTCACTCATTCTCCATCCAGTTTTCCTCTGGAGTTAAAAAAAAACGAGGGGGGGGGATGTGGTGGATGCCCTAATTTCCACTGGGTGACTTCTTTGAACAGTGTCCACCGTGTGAAAGTGAGATGGGTTTGATTTTGATCATGAAATGTTAAGAGAGAGGAAGTAACGGCTGTAATCGTTGCTCACCGTCTGCACTGCCAATGAAAAATGCACTATTTTACTATTTAGTATTACTGACCTCCTGTATCCTCTCTTAAACAGTAACAAAGCAGACAATAGTGACAATTTACAGTGACAGTAATACTGTTTACTATTTTTTTTCAAATACACCAGTTGGTTTACTTTTAGAACAGAGACAAGAACGGCCGCCACACGCTTTCGCCACTCGTACGGAAACTGTAAAGTATGCAGGCATGCTCTCAACGTCAAAGCGACGAGGAGGAAAATATCACTTAAAAAAATTTATAGTTTAATCGTTACTTGCTGAAGCTTACATGTGCAACTCATCAGGCCTGGCCACTTGTAAAACACTTTAGGCGTCCTATATTTGTCATCATTGCTCAATTAGGAAACTTAGAGAAATAGATAACTGATCTGTCTGCCAGAAAACTACGGCTCAACAAATTTACCTGAAACCGGAGATCCCTAATTTGGCTCACGTTGACTCCCGTGTTTAGTGGCGGGATTTTGTCCAGACCGTAGCAGCTCACGCCAAGGGGATCACACCTACATTTCTGCGCAGACACAGACAACAGATGTGAGATGCCTCCCTCAAACACGACATGGTGACTGTACACGTTGGAGCTTTGCTAAATGTCACATTAAAGATAGTACCTCTCTCTCTCTCTTCTCTCACTCTCTCGCTCCTTCTCTCTCTCTCTCTCTCTCGCTCCTTCTCTCTCTCTCTCTCTCTCTCTCTCTCTCTCTCTCTCTCTCTCGCTGTGTAGGTATGTGGGTGTTTGTGCATGTGTGTGTGTGTATGCATGTGGATATATGAAAGTATATTTAGGTATGTCTGTATGTGTGTAAATATGTGAGTTTAGGTTTAAATGTGTGGATATATGTATGCATGTGTGTGGGTGTATGTATTCATGTAAGTGTAAATGTGTTGTTTTGGGCATATGTTGGTGTCTGTACATGTAATGGTATGAGTGTGTATGCATGGGTGCATGTATAGATGTGTATATATGGAATGCGTGTGTGCATGTATATCCATAAATGTATGTGTGTGCGTTTTCTGTTTGTGCATTTATTTCTGTGTATGTGTATGCTTGTATATGTATGTAGATGCAGGTGTGTATGTATCACGTATGTCTGTATATGAGTTCACCTGTATGAAAATGTAGATGTATGTATACGTGTGTGTGAGTGTGTATGATGGCGTACACACGATGTGTGTATGCATTATATATTTCTTTTAAATCCATAACATGCGTTATTGATAACAGGTATTAGTACTCTGAAAAATGAGTACTTAGAAGGGCCGAATGTCAGACGGGCCTGAGTGCCCAATTTGTAACCCTTTGAAAATAAAGTTTGTTCGTTCGTTCGTTCTCTCTCTGCAGGGTGAAAACCCCAGTTCAGAATCTCCTTCTGCCGCCAACAGATCATTATCTTGACAAGAACATATTCTTGTAAATCACATCTATGTTCAGAAACTACAGATTAAAAAAAAGTGTTTGTGTGTGCATTTTTATTTGTATGCTTGTAGGCATAAGACCAGCTAGAATCCGTCGTGGTGTGGCTGCTAGACGCTCGCCTGCGGATTTGAAGGTGGTGTTTTCGGTTCCTGACGGTACTGACCTATTTTTTTTTTTAATGACCTTGGCTCCCACGTCAATCCAGGCTTGAATGGATACCAGGATGAGTCCTGGGAAGTAAAAGTGGTCGGCGTCATGCTGACCACATCAGCCACCTAGTGCCGACTGGTTTGTACGATATAGGTCTAGCAATATATGCCCAATGTGCATCAAGGCTTGGAAAGGGTATTTTATTTATAACACCAGCTACTTACAGTTAAACTTAGCCGGAAGGTTGAAAAGGCTGTCGGGTAATACCATATCTAAGATAAAAGGATCGTCCCGTTTTCGCCGGGATAGTATCGAATTTAGGTAGGCCCAGACCGTCGCATCGATACCTTGCCTTTTCAAACATATACATTTTTAGTACCAAGGCGACAGTGTGGGCCTACCTAACAATATCCCCTAAAATGAAAGAAGTATTTAGTCAGCTTATGCAGTAATCCTGATAAATTAATCCAGTGCACTGTAACTAAAAAGCCTATCGAAACTGGGAAGCAGAACAACGTGCACAAAAACAGGCAAATTGACGTTAACTAACTCACCGGGTCGGTGTAGGGACAGACTTGAGTCATCGCCTGCACAATGCATATGACCACAATAGTCAACACAATGTGAAGGTTTCTCACAGCTTCCATCATTGAGAAGGTGAGGTTGTCTGATCACGCTTGTCAAAATAATATTTAAACAGAAAGGAAAAAGTACATTTCTTCTATATCAGTTTAAAAAACAAATTTATTTGTATTATGTCTGAAGTAGGCTCTGTGGCTAAGTCGATGCGAACGCTTCGTAATGCCGGGCTGCCCGGTTCGATCCCAGCTGCGGGCTATGCGCATTGCGATGGTTTCGACAATGGTATCAGGGAGCCGACTGTCTAGAAGCAATGGCAAACTACTGAACGTAAATTTGCCTAGAGAAATCAAACAACAGCCAGGGGCTGCTGGGGTTGGTTCTGCAACGTCCTGTAAAGGATTCGCAACTAACCTTATTATCTCTGATGTCTGTTTTGTGCCTCTAGACGTCGCCATTTGACACAGTATAGGCTGCCGAGCTAGGAGGTGCTCGGTTGGTTGGTGTGTTGTAATAATGTAACGTCTTAGGTCAGTTGACGTCCAAAATCCAACTTTTTTCTGACCTCCATCTCCCTCGTGGTGTTTCAGTCATCATATCGAAAGCTCTTACAGCTCTTACTGATTCATTCTCACCAGGAGGACGAACCATTTTAGTCTTTGTTCCTTTGTTAATATAACGACGGTTATAGTGTCAGTAGTTTTTATAATCTGTTTATTTCCCACATTGTCTCTTCTTGTTTTTTCGCAGCTCTTCTTAATCATCTAATGTAGGTGATTAGTTTTCTCGACTTCTTTAGTTAATGCCTCAGTAGTAGTAGTAGTAGTAGTAGTAGTAGTAGTAGTAGTAGTAGTAGTAGTAGTAGTAGTAGTAGTAGTAGTAGTAGTAGTAGTAGTAGTAGTAGTAGTAGTAGTAGTAGTAGTATATTTGTACCCCACTAGGACATTCACACAAGCAATAAACACCCCATGACACAAAGTGCCACCATGTGGATGAGGATCACCCAGAAACCGCGTTCAGCCAATAGACCATATTTATGGCCGGGCTATATCGCGGCCCCTAACAAGAACCAGAGAAGGGCTTTAAATAACGAAAAATTCCAAACCACAAGGGGATGACATGATACAATACTGCCTCAGCTATAAATATATACATGTGATGTGTGTGTATTCTTATATACATATGTGTGTGCGTGTGCATACGTACATACATATATGTGTGTGTATATATATATATATATATATATATATATATATATATATATATATATATATATATATATAGTGTGTGTGTGTGTGTGTGTGTGTGTGTGTGTGTTTCCAACAATAACTTATGCACTTTGTAGGTGAAAAAAAGCGGAAGGGCGGGATTTAAAAAAGGAAAAGGGCGGAATGGGTCCCCTATCTCTATATAATATATTAACACAAAGTATAATTTAACTCTCTTTATTTATTTCTAAATTGTAACTGTTTGGTTTGATCGCGTGTCCTGTCATGGACTAATTTGATTTGCTTGTAGATGGAATAAACTGGTCGGATTTGGTTATTTCTCATTTGGTCTGTCTGACAATTTTTTTTTTAAACGAGACTCCTCTTGCACACACACACACACATACACACGCGCACACACACACACACTCACAAATGTTGAGTAAGCACTTCAGTGTCCAGAAAAAAAAAAGGTCACTCAAGAACCGAACCTAGTTCTGGAACTCCATAGCACTCACAACTATCAAAATGTTTTAATACCAGAAACTTTTGCGGTAATTATTCTCACGTTGACTGCTTTTCTACTTGTAATTTTCTAAATCAATCTGATCAGCCACCTATTGGGTCTGTGTTTTTTTTTTTTTTTTCAGTTTTCTCAGACTGGATTTGTTTTATTTGTCGGCGTAAATGCAGGTCTACTAGTGTTTCGGTTCATATCTGATGGAGATTTACACACCACAAACCTCTCTAGGTTCAGGAATCGTGTACCAACGTGTTATTACTTAGAGTATATTTTACCATATTGTAGCGTGTAAGACTTGAGAGCTGTACTGTAGTGAACGTTTTCCCCTGCAAGTCGTACATTGTGAAAACATTGTAGCGTGTAGGGAACGTTGTACTAATCGCGAACGCGCATGCCACTCATCGTAATAATTCATCATCATCATCATCACCTTTAACTTCTGCCTTTAAGCGTTGTGGGGAGGGATAGTTTGCGATCCATCACTTGATGGCCAGCAATGGCTATTGCCATTCCATGTCGTTGTAGAGGCTCCTTAAATATCATCAATCCTTGTTCTCCTAGGGTGGCCTCCTGTTTCACTTCAGATCTTTTCATGTGTAACGCCCGTGTTGGTAGTTGTTCTAACTGCATTGTTACTAGATATGTAAACAACTCGATGTTGTTTCTTATCACATTTGCTACATGGTGTTTCTACACTCTGCCTGATAATATCATTTCTTACTTTATCTCGGATGGTTAATGTGGCTGCTTTTCTCAGGCATCTCATTTCACAGGTAGTAATTTTACATAGGTTAGCCGTTGATAATGTCCAGGTCTGGGAACTGAATGCTGTATCACAACTGACCGTTTCGTGTGTCACGTGTCTTTGCTCTGAACTACACAGAACTCAATTAGGCATTATCCTCCCACTGGATGGGATTTTTTGTAAAAACTTCATCAGTATAATTAAATCTGAACTGTTTACCTCTAAAGTTTAAGTGAAGATGAGCAGTTCTCATTGCTACGACCAGTGTTTCAATTAATGTTGTTCTTGCTAATATAGATTGACAGTGATTTGTATTTTATTAACTACTGAAAGTAAATTTGCCTAGAAAAAAAAAGCAACAACAGCCAATGAATGCTGGAATTGATTTCGCAACTACCTGTAACGAATATGCAACTAACTTTTTTACTGTAGTAAATCTAATGAACATACGTGACTTACAGCTTGTGATTCATAGATGTTTTAAGGTTGAATTAACAATCAATATCACATCACCAAGACTTTCCCATAAGTATCCCGTCCCCAGCTTCAACAGTAAACACAGTTCTGATTTCGTTGGCATTAGTTGGATTGTATTTCTGCCTTGTCTTACCCTTGAGTGTTGAGCCTCAGTCACATTATCTGATCACCCCTCGCAGCACCATTTTGATGGGAAAGCGAGGACTTGCTTTCAAAGATGATGCTTGAATAATATGTTATCCTTCTAATAGATACTATAATGAACACGAGCACTAATCTTTGTATTTTGTAGCAAATGACCCTCTATATCGATGCTACTGAATCATGAGAAACTATTAATAGTTGCTTATTGTTAACACAGTTCTACTGACCTTAGTCTGCTGTTCTTCTTTCAGCGGAGAGTAGTGCAAAATGACTGTCTTTTATACGCTTAAAATTTATATTAGTCACGACCCAAACTGATAAGATTTCACCAAAAAACATTTTTGTCACACTAATTTGTAACGTTTGAAAAATCGACGTCTCCCGTTTAATTTTTAATTTTAATTTTTTTTATTTTCACATTCAAACTCTTTGTAATTTAATTTTTAAAAAAAGCCCCGTTTAATTCTCTTCGTTGTAAATAACTCGTTTTGACGTCTTCAATTGTATTCAGTGTTTGATGAAAGCTGAAATTTGTCACTGCGCATTTGACTCTCGATACAATCTGTCGCTATCACGCCGAATGCCTTTAGTTTATATACAACTAGCTGTACCCGGCCACACGTTGCTGTGGCCTAGAATGGTGAAATTGAGAGGAAAGAAAATAGTTCTCATCAAACAGTGTCTGTCATTCCCCCCCCCCCCCCCCCCCATCCCGGACCCAGTCATATCTCCCTCTCCGAAGGATTGAAAAATCATCCATTGCGAAATTATTAAAATAGAAATAGTTAAGAAATGAGAACTATAAAATAATATTTTAAGCTCTCTCAGCTAACTGTGTCTGGCATACCCGTCCCCCCCCCCCCACCCCCACCAATCATATCTCCCTCTCCGTAGGATTGTAAAATCATCACCTGGCGAAATTATTAAAATAGAAAGAGTTAAGAAATGAGAACATAAAAAAAAATATTTTAAGCTCTCTCAGCTAACTGTGTCTAGCATAACCCCTCCCCCCCCCCCCCCCCCCCCCCCACTTTTCTCTTTTCCACAAATCATATCTCCCTCTCCGAAAAATTGAAAAATCATTACCTGGCAAAATTATTAAAATAAAAATAGTTAAGAAAGAAAACTTTAAAATATTATTTTAGGCTCTCTCAGCTAACTGTGTACGGCATAACCCCCTCCTTCAAACAAAAATTGAAAAATCACCCATGGCGAAATTATTAAAATAGAAATAGTTAAGAAACGAGAACTTTAAAATAATAATTTAAGCTCTCTTATCTAACTGTGCCTGGCATAGCCCCCCCCCCTTTTTCCCCCTTATTTCCCAATCATATCATCCTCACCGAAGGATGGGAAAGTCACCATGTGGCGAAATATTGTAACTAAATTGAGCTTGGCATCCGTGTCCACCCAGACTTAAATAGGTAGCATAAACTTGTACTGAGATGTAAATGTGGCCTGTGTAACAGCTACCACATTACCCATCCATTACGAGTACTACTGCAACCACTACAACCACCACCATCACAACATCAACAACAACAAAAACTGTCATTACAGTCTGTGTTGGTCGGTGTAGAAAAGATTAGTTAGCGCTGCATGCTGTCGCCACGGACTATTTAGTTTAATGTTGGCCCCGACATAGAAAAAAAAAATCTTCATGACGTAACCAGTGATGGAACCCACAGTAAAAATTACACTATACTCACGAATAGCAGAGACAACTACCCCGCATCCGTCATCTCTTCCTCTCCGAAGGAACGATTTTTAACTGACCTTGGCATCCGTGTCCACCCAAACTAAACTGGACTGTAAGGTCTTAGTTAACAGTTTCTGTCATCGCCGAATCGTTTTTGATCAAGAAGCGTCGCGGGGAGGCTAACTGGGACTTAACTGAATTCGGATGTCTTTGGCGAAAGGCACAGTTACCGCAGCCTAGCTGTAAACCACAACACAGCGTGGCAACCACCCTTA